AACTGCTCTAAAAAAGCTACTGAGCCATTAGCACGCTGTCAACAGGTTTGCTTTGCTTTTCCACAGGTTGCTCTATTCTCCTACCAGCTATGTTGCTCGGATTGCAAGTAAATAGTTCAACAACCTTGTTGTATCAGTTGAAAGGTAGTTTTGGTTAGAATTACTGAACTAATGTACTGAAACTATTGTTTAGTATTTGTATACCTTCTCCAAAAACATATGGGTACCTAAGCAAGGAATCATGAAGGAAACGTCTCCTGCCATCTGCAAACTTACAGGGTTTATATCGAGAAGTTTCCGTTACTCGGAGAGGATACATGGGCCTTGAAGAGGTAATTCCACAGATGCCTTTGAAACTGATGTTAATTAATGATTTTGAAGCAAGGTGAACAAAGAGAAAATAACTAGTACATTAATCAGATAAAACTGTTTTAGACTAGTTAAATCCATGTAGAGAAAGGTCGTCATGCAGTCCTACATCCATTTCATCCCGATTTCTTCAAATTACGAGATGAATTTAATGGGAGTGCAGCGGTCCATGCCTTATTTGGTTAGTGTAGTTATTGATCCAAATCATCTCAGTCTGAGCTGTTCCATGTTAAAGTCTGATACAATTTGTGGCATGCCCTAAGAAAAAGAATATGAAAAGATTTTTACAATAATAGTGATAATTAGTTATTATTGTTTTCATTTGCACGTTTTAGTTTAAATAATTGACAAAGATTTTGCTTTTCCATTTTTGTCAGACTAAAAGCCAACAGCATTTTTATTTCAATTATTACCTCTCCATGTTAGTTATCAGCACAATAAAGAAGTCTGCGATGCAGTTTGGGTTGTCCTTGAGGACTCTGCTTGTGCTATGCCCTCTTTCGACTTGTCCCTGTACCAGGACACAGTACTTTTTTCTAAAGATATTTTAATAAGTGTTAAAAGACTTTATCACTTTAAAAATTATTGTCCACTTTATTTCTCTGTGGCCCCTTTAGGACGTTGCATTTAATTATTGAATAGTACGAAAACATTGAATAATATATATCATGTTTTTAGCTTATCCGCTTATTCCATTCATTTTTTCACTTTTACCCTTTATTAGCTTTATGATTAATGACCGTGGTTGTACAGGAGAAACAAACAGTATGATCGTTAAGTTTGAATGAAGGTTAAGGTTGCACAAGACACCTTCTTATGAATAACTTCATAAACCGAGTTTTGGGGTGGCTTTTTCATTATCAAGTTTCAGATCTCTAAATTTTGAAATCGATTTCGCGAAATTTAACAGAAAGTTTAGTGGATGATGAAATGACATCATGATTGTCGGTTTACCAGAAGATAATGCTTTTACAGTAACATTTTAGGCTGCTTAAGTAAGAATAGCAGTTAGCAGAATCAGTCGTCACATTTCATTTATAGTCATCTCCGTCTGTCTCTAGAGACGATGGACTGGGCCAGAAATGTTAGGTCGCTGCGGAGCAGCGTCCACTGTGATTGTTAAGCCCAATTCTGGAAAGGCAGTCTTTGTCACAGTTGTTGCAAGTGTAAGGTGTTGGTTACGAAGCTGCTGAAGCTGCCCTTGCTCTCTGTCGCTCCCTTTTGTCATGCCACTGCTC